TTCAGAACACACATCTCTCCTCAAGCTGGGGACAATAATGGCAGCGTGCAGCCACAGTGATGATCTAATGAAAGGCGTGTACATGAACAAAATGTTTGGTGGAAAGAATGAGTCACATAGTAGAGGACTTTGTAGCGTTAAGTAGAAGAGAGCACACAAATATCAGAAAAAGAATATACATCCAAAAGAACCTTCAGTTTGAGAAATGTGCTCAAATTTTTAAAAGTATGTTTTCTGTTCTTTTTTACATTTTATGGAATAAAAAGTGAAAGATAACATAATAAGACATAAGGCAGTTGTGAAAAGAAATACTGAGAAACTAAGAATGAAAAAAGGTACTAGATAATATAAAGAATGAATGTTTTGAAATAATTATGGGAAAAGCAACTTTGAAGATATTTTAGAAATAGTAAGATTAGGGTTAATACGGCTGATAACAATGGAACTAAAATAAAATAAACGTTTAGGAAAAGCTTAAATAATTCTTCCAAGTATTGAGCAATAAGACCAAGATATTCAAATAATGACAGAGAAACACCAGCGTTACTGATATGTGAATAGTTAGTGCTCCTGAACACAAGATCAGAACAAATGGGAGACAATAAACACTCAGACATAAATAAAATGAGCTAAGAAATCACTTTAATCTGTAGATTAAAGGAGCTCACTTGGCAAATAGCGGAACCAATAGGACAGACCAATAAATAGATAGAACTAGGTAACAGTATAAACCCTCAAAGAAAAAAAAAATCGAGAAACAAAAGACAAAACTTGATAGCCTCTAAAGAAAGAAATCTCAGGCTGACTTTAGACCTCCCCTTTGGAAGATAAAATTCCGGAGCCAGCAGCAACATCAATGGAGGTTTGAGTTGTGAGTTCAATATACCTATGCACATACAACCAACCAATATGTGACAAGAGATCGAAGAATACTCAATGGATAATGACTATTTGGCATATTCAGTAAATGGTGTTGGAAAAATGGGATATTCACATGCAAAGGAAGGAAACTGGACCCCTATCTTACATTGCAAATGAACTCAAAATAGATTAAAGACAAAGGTAAGACCTGAAACTATAAGACTCCTAGGAGAATGCATAGGAGAAAATCTCCTTGACATTGGTCTTGGCAATGATTTTAGGGATATGATACCCAAAGCACAAATAACAAAAATGAAAACCAACAAGTGAGACTGCATCAAACTACAAAGCTTCTGCAGAGCCAAAGAAATGACCAACAAAATGAAGAGGCAGCCTATGAAACAGAAGAAAATATTTACGTACCATCTACTTGATAAGGGATTGATATCCAAAACACATAACAATTTCACACAACTCAATAGCCAAAAAATGAATAACCATTTAAACTGTCCTAGGACCTGAATAGTCATTTTTTTTCCAAAGAGAATATTCAAATGGCCAATAGGTACATGAAAAAGTGCTCAACATTACTAACACCAGGAAAATGCACATCAAAAACACAATGATATATCATTTCACATATGATAGAATGACTATTAACAAAAAGATGAGAGGAAACAATGTGAGTAAGGAAGCCTTATACGGTGTTGGTGCAATTGTAAATTGGTGCAGCCACTGTGGAGAAACAGTATGGAAGTTCCTCAAAAGATTGAAAATAGAACTACCATATGATCCAACATTTTGGAATATATCTGAAGAAAATGAAACCTCCATCTTTAGGAGAAATTTGCACCCCCATGTCTGATAGCATTCTGTATAGTAGCCAAGACATGAAGACAACTTAAGTGTCCATCAACAGATAAATGGATAAAGACTATTTGGTATATATGTGCAATGAAATGTTACTCAGTCATAAAAAATAAGATTCTTCCATTTATGACAACTTGAATACAATATATCAAGTAAAGCCAGTCAGAAGAAGACAAATATTGTGTGATTCAACTTGTATATGAAATGTTAAAAACAAACAAATACATCCCTGGACTCATAGACCCACAGAACAGACTGGTGATTGCCAGAGGTGGGGTTAGGGAAAATGGGTGAAGCTAGTCAAAGGATACAGACTTCTAGTTATAAGATCAGTAAGTTATAAAGTATAACGCAGTGACTATGGTAAACAATACTATGTTGTATATTTAAAAGTTGCTCACAGACTTTTTAAAAGTTCTTAACACACATAAATTACAACTATGTGACGGGATGGATACTAACTAAAATTATTATGGTAATCATATTTTAATACATACATATTGCTTTGGACACCTGAAGCCTACACAGGTTTTGTCAGCTTTATCTCCATAAAGGTAAAAAATAGAAAAATGAAAAACAAAATGAGCAAAACTAAAATAAATAAAAGAATTAAGTATACAATTCAAAAACTCAAGAAAAGAGTAGAATCAGCAGAGAAAAGTGATATTTGAACTCCATGCAGGGCATTGGACAGCTGACACTCCCGGCCTCACCTCCCTGCCTAAGTCTCTCCACTCTGTTTTCACATCATTAACAGGAGGATGAAGAATTCCTTAGTTCATTAGTCAATTCATCTCCAGAAAGTGCTCGGAGGCAAAGCTGATTACTTTTACTAATAGGAAAAGATTGGCCCTTCCAGAAGGAGGAAGTTATCTGGATGTGCGCCCAAAAATATGTATTCTGTTTTTCAATGCTCAGTGGGAGTTACTCTCATTAGTTCCCCTTCTTTATTGCATTTGGATAAAACAGAGAAGCCGTCTTGATGATGATAAATGACTAATAAATTTTAATTGGCTCTTTAGCGCAAACATACAGTCATTAAATTCAACCAGAAAACTCTCAGAATCAAAAGTGCTAAAGTTGCAGATTGTGCAAAAATAACAACTTTGAGATTTTTTGGTTTCCTTCTATTCTCAAAAGTAACCCTATAGCTAAAATCCCTAATGGATATAGAGGAAAAATTGTGTGTGTGTGTGTGTGTGTGTGTGTGTGTGTGTGTGTGAGTGTGTGTGTGTGTTTTGAATGGTTCAGAAATGTGGAGAAGAGGAAATGAATTAAAACAGGTGCAAAATTGAAACACTTCCTCCACTCAATATTCTGGTAAGCGATGTGGTCTTTGTTTTCACAAGCACATGAGCACTGCTATAATCACTGTGGGACAAAAAAAAGACAAAGTAGGTTTGGACTCTTCTCTGGTACACTGGCAGCCATGGAAGAGAATGCTCCTTTTAAAATAAGCAACTTGTACTTGGGTATGTGTAAGAATCGTATCACTCACAGATGAGCAGAGAGAATCCCTGCCTGAAGCAAGTGGCTAGGATTACATAGGTTTTAAAACAAGGCCCTGTGTGGGTCTCTGTGGTGATTTTCAGAGCATTTGTCATGACATTTTTCATCATCTGTCAGTCCTGGGGGACCTAAAAGGACATCAGCCAATGTGAGTCACAAGTGACTTTTTTTGATGCAGCAAATCCACGTCTATAAACTTTTCTAAGTAATAAATAATGCTCCCAGGATTTAACTATGAGAGAATATTCATTGTAGAGTTGTGTATAATAGCCAAATTTATTTTGGAAAGATATAAACAGCCAACAATATAAAGTCTAACACAGTGACTATAGTAACAACACTATATTATATATTTGAAAGCTATTCAGAGAAGTTTATTTTGGAAATTATCTTTTGGAAAAAGATAAACAGCCAACAACGATTGACCTACATAAACAGGCAATCATATAGGGCAGAGGTCAGCAAACTCATTAGTCAACAGAGCCAAATATCAACAGTACAACAATTGAAGTTTCTTTCGAGAGCCAAATTTTTTAAATTTAAACTTCTTCTAAGCCACTTCTTCAAAATAGACTCGCCCAGGCCATGGTATTTTGTGGAAGAGCCACACTCAAGGGGCCAAAGAGCAGCATGCGGCTTGCGAGCCACAGTTTGCCAACCATGGGTCTAGAAGGCTCCTCCTGTGTTTGAGAATGGGTAGGGGCCAGCATGCCGAGATAAGGGGCCAGGAGAAGGGAGCCCGGCTACCTGGAGGAAGCACCCTCAGAGCTGGGGGATGGGTGGTCAGATAGACACTCTATGTCTAAATGTCTTTCTCAATGGGAGTATGAAGGACACTCTGTACCAGAGACTGCTACTTACCTCTGTCCCTCATTCCTCCCTAGGATTGCATTCTGACCAAGGGGCCCAGGTCAAAAACAAACAAATAAGCAAACATGCAAGCCAACAAACAGCTTCTACTTTGGTTAGAGATGACCAGTGAAACGCAAGCAAACATTAATGGGTTCAAGTCCCAGGAATGCCAGCTCAGAGGAGGAGAGGTAGCTGGTATGGGCCTCTCTTATTCTTCCTCCCTGCTCTTTCTTCCCATTGGCTGGAATTTGGGTGTGATGGCAGGAGTTCCAGCAGCCACCTTGAAGTAAGAGCCATCTTAACCAAGAGCTGAACTTGAGGCATGATGCATTCAGGCTTCAGCTGCACTGGCCTGTCTGCAAACCCACATTTAAATGTCCAAATCCTGTTTATTATCTTAGGACCTTGTACCACACCCAGCAGTGGTGTCATATGTCCCTTACATTTCAAAAGCAATGCCCTCTGACTTACGTCTGCAAAGTATTTGAGACTTCACATGTGTTACTGAAGAGAGATAATTCTGGTCCATTTTCTGGGTTCTCTTCTTTAAGCTCATAATGTGGTATGATATTATATTACCACCTCAGTGAACTGTGGAGGCTGCAGTGTATAAAGAATGGAACCTTCTAGAACCCTTTGGTGGCACTGATGTTTGCATTTTCAACTTTGTTTATATAGTGAGTTATTTTAGAGTGGAATCTAATGGATATTTCATTGTGTTAAATTTGCTGGAAGAAACATTCAAAACATTCAAATATGGGTTTTATATCCCCATAGCAATTACTCCCAAATTGGCTGATGCCTTTGGGGAGAGAGCCTACCATTGCTACTGGCAAAATAATTGAAAGGAAGAAGCCTTAGGAACTTTGCAGGCAGCTCATTCCTCTTCCACCTGCACAGTTACTTGCCTGTGATGGCCAGCTGGGTCACAAAGAAGGTCATTCTTGACTTCCTCTTCCGCCTCCACATGAAGAACAGCACCATGGAGTTGCCAACGATGGTGAAAACGAAGAGGACCCACAGCGTTATCAGCTGCTCAGTCTGTGGGAAACAAGCAACACGAAGCGGCGCTGTGAGGACCAAGGTGCCCTGCAGAGCATGAGGCTCAGGCTTCCAGCTGGAAGGTCTTCCTTCTGCCTTCATGTCCCCACTGTCAAAGCTCTACTCAAAAGAGGCCAAGACCAAGACCATTTGCTCCCAGGGAAGAGGATGGTACTGAGGATTGTGGGGGGGCCTGTCTCTGGCCCTGGACAGGATGAAGGGGCTGTAGTGTGGCAGTGCGGGCCTGCAAAGTCCTGCGGAAATGCAAGTGAGGGGTTTCCCAGGCTTCCCTGCCCCTGTTCCTTTCAGGGAACCTGTTTCAGAGGAAGAAGCATTTCGATAATGCTTTTCATCCATTTATTTTTTCAAATCACAGAACTCTGTGTTACAGGCACACATTTTCTCTGCCTGGGTAGTGGTACAGGAGTGGTGTGCTTCCACATTGCCCAGCACCGAGCCAATCTCTGCGGGATGCTTTCAACCTCAGAGGAAGAAGGAACAGAGTTAGACACCATTTTCCTTCCCAACTCCGTCTTCTCCAGCACTGTCCCTGGCCCTGCAGGCCACTCACGTCCCTCGGCCGGGAGAAAGCAGCGGGCAGTGGCTCCTCTGTGAGGTCTGAGCATGTGATGCAGCTGCAGCGGAAATCTGCTCCCTGGACCTGTACAGCAAGGCTCCTGTGACATCCTTCCCTCGATGATGCTCAAGGACACTCTTCACATGAATACGTCACAGCACTTGCCCTGCACTCAGAACCTCCGTACCTTCACCTTCTAGAGTCCTCCAATTTCCCAGCAGGTGGGGGAGGAGGGGTGAAAGGGAGCTGACCTCACCTATTTTCTATTTCTCACAGAAAATTGTTTTAAACTAAAATGGCTCTGAAGGCCTTTTGGATGAGAATCAGAAAGAGAAGTGATCAAATAAACTCAGGGACTTTTGAACAAGAAGCTATGTTTTTGTTTGTTTGTTTGTTTGTTTGTTTTTCTTCCAGGTTATTCTCTCTTCATGCTGTTCTTTCACTAACTGCCTGTGGTTTGGTTTTTAGGCCACATTTCCAAAAAACACCACCACAGAAAGTAACTAGTTTGGAGAGAGAGAGAGAGAAAGAGAGAGAGAGATTGTGTGTGTGTGTCCTGCATGCTGCATTGGTGACTATGTAGACACCAACATTCAGATCCTCAGAAATCTGGATTCTCTCCAATGAAGGAGCCCTCTGGCCCCCAGTGGGAATAGAATGGCTGGGTCTCTAGTCCTTGGTCTGAACAATCCCCCCCAGGCCTGCAGTCTCTCCAAAGGGGCTTGGGAGTATCCCACATTGGGCTGCCAGTTGTGAGTATCTCCTCCCCCCCCTTCCCGCCCCCCCCATGATCTTACAGGGGATGGGAACTAACACTATTTGAGTGACTTCATTCATCTAACACCCGAGTATTCAGTTCGCACTGTAAAGTAGGTAATCGATAAATGTGTGCTGCTGATCGATTGCCTTGTGCTGTGCATTGTTTGAGACGCCTTACTTACTGCTAACTTCGTCCTCACCACCTGGCCAGGGAGATGCCGCTGCTCTCAATCAGAAGGGGAGGAAATGGGGCTCAAAGGGGTTACTTAGCTGGTAGGTACTCCTGGGTTAGAAGGGATGCTGCTAAAGTTGGAATATATATTTTTTTAAACTGGGAAGTCCATGACTTGCTTACAATTTGGGGCTAGAGATGGTGAAGTTGCCTCATTTGCTTTCAATTATCACCATTGCGATTCTGACTCCAAACTTGTCTGAAGCTGGGCTTTTGGAACTGGGTGGGTTTTGTGACCGTGTCCGCCCCTCCCCCCCCACCCCAGGCTGAGCCAAAGGGCGGTGCTCAGTGTGTGTTTGAAGGGACTCACCCTGGAGCCGCGTGTAGCTTCCACACCACAGCATCCCGGATGTCACACCAGATGCAACGATGCCAGCTGGCCCAGGGAATCAGCACTTCCCATGCGCCTTACACTTTCATGGTCCCTTTGATGACCAGTGTTATTCCTGTGGTGCTGAAGATAGCATCTCAAACACAGGACAGAGCAAATATATCTTCCCTCCCAAGAGAGGAAATGAAGTCTCCGAAAGGTTACAATTCAGCCTCCGTCCTCAGCGAGAGGGCAACGCAACTGTGCTGCCTCCTTGGCACCGGGACCAAGTGTCACCTGTCACTCACAGCACCCGGCCTCTGAAGCGGCTCAAAGCCTCATTGATTCACGGAGGTGGGTTGGAAATATCAAGAGCCAAGTCTGAAAGCATCTGATTGCACTGAGGATGAGTCACCGTGTAGACAGGAGCCCACGCTGTAAAGCGAGCCCGCAGGAGCAGACTGCAGGGCTCAGGGTTCCATGATTAGACTGGGGAGGGTGATCCAGGCAAAGGCTCCGAGCCTCTAGGGAGGTGAGCACATTTGAGCAAGTGGGCGCTCCGAAGGCTCCTTGTCACGCCCCCCCTGCTGCTTCAGAAGGCAAGGCCAGGTGGCAGCAACCGGAATAGCCAAGCAGGCGGCTGGGGAGGACTGAGCTTGCTTGGAGGGCTCACCTGGCTTCTTCCCATGGCAACCTCCTCCCAGTGAGGCCCCTTTCGAACATCTGCATCTTCGCCACCCTCCCCAGGAACCCGCTGGGAGACACCCTGGCCAATACAGTTGAGTGACTGTCCTCACGCCTTCTCTTGGCATTCACCTTTTCTAACTGCTTTACTGAGAGCGATGGGGATTCTATCTTGAATTACCCAGGCTAGTCTTCATTTCTCATATTCAAGTGTAAAAAGTAGATAACAGCCGAAACCGGTTTGGTTCAATGGATAGAGCTTCGGCCTGTGGACTGAAAGGTCCCAGGTTCGATTACGGTCAAGGGCATGTACCTTGGTTGCGGGCACATCCCCAGTAGAAGGTGTGCAAGAGGCAGCTGATCGATGATTCTCTCTCATCGATGTTTCTAACTCTCTATCCCTCTCTCTTCCTCTCTGTAAAAAATCAATAAAATATATTTTAAAAAGTAGATAATAAGACATTTTAATGGATTGCTATTACAAAAAAAAATGATGTAAAGCAACATACAGGTGGGGATGTGAACGCAAGTTTTATGTTTTGGTAAGGCTTTTCCTATCGTTACAGGCATGAGGAACAGGGGTGCAGGTGGCAACCTCTGGCCAGGGGCTGGTGGGACTGGCAGACGGGGGCTTCTGTGTGAAGAAGAGAGAACAGGAATGGAGTGGAAGTACTATCAGAGCCTGGTTCTGTCGAGGTGGACAGCAGGGCTGTGGACCAAGATAGTTCCAGATAGTCCTGGAGCAAGTCATTCTGTGAACTCCCGTGCAGGGGGAGGGAGAGAGAACTGTTCTGGAGACCATGTCTTGTGAACAGGATTATACTGGTTTGCGTTCTGCATAATTCAACAAGCATTTGTTGAGAATCTAGTAACAAATTCAAAATACTTTGGGGGTGGAAGGGAGGCTAAGACAGGAGCTCACAGTCTGATGGCGGAGGCAGATATGGAGACAAACGTTTTCAATGTGACCTGGTATAATGGAGACTTTGAGAAGAGGCTGGTTATGGCTGGTCAAAAGGTAGATTCTGAAGGAATTAATATGTGGGTTGAGTCTGGAAATGTGAGAACTAGCCAGGCAGAGAAGCAGGGTACCTGGCCAAGGTGTGAGTGAAGGCAGAGGACAGAGGGGGCCGTCCCCGATCCTTAGGTGTAGTCACTGAGCAGGCAAGTCTGGTATGAAAGTGAGAACTTGGGCCAATGTCCTGAAAACCAGCTATTTCAAAAATGGGGCGAAGTCCACTCGGGCCCTTTGTCCTGGGTTCAAAGAACTTGCTACCAAGAGGGAAGATTATTTGTCCTCTGGAGTTTTATTCAATTGTCTTCATGGCCAGAGTGGTCTTTGCCCTACCTCTCAATGGCTCACTGCCTAGCAATTCTCTCCCAGTTTCGCCTCCAGGACATAGGGAAACGACTATATCAATACTTTCCATGCTGAGCAGACAGGGTTAGGAGCATCGGATCTGGAGTGTTTCAGCACTGCTGCCGTGGGTCCCATGGGCAACGCTAATTTCCCAAGGCCTACCTGCCCCTTTCAGACAGAGGCAGTGCCTGGGACTCCTTTTGTTAACTGTCTGAGTTTACGCCTGCTGTCAGCTAGCTGAGAGGCCCAGGGAGAAGCTAATTTCAGTTCAGAAAAATAAAGTAACAATCTTGTTCACTCGAGTTCATGGCGAGAAACAGTCTGAGAACGCCAGGATGATGTTTGGAAGCGTTCATGGGTGCCCTCTCCCCGCTCCCTAGAGAAAACCTCCCCCAGCCAGGCCGCCAGAGAGCTTATCCCCATGTGCCCTCGGAGAAACCGCCCCCCTCAGTGCAGGGGAGAAAGAAGCTAGGGCAGCTTTCACATGCTCCTCGGAGGACATCCTACAGGGGAGAGAACTGGTTTTCTCCCTGAGAGAGGTCGAGTCCTTGCCCATTCAGAGCAGACGGCCTGGAGTGAGAAGTGGGGAAGAGCAGTTCCCCCAGGTCAGAGGAAGAAGCCACGGGACACAGGAGTGTGGAAGGACACCGCAGAGGGGTGGATGTCAGGAGAAGAGGAACCGGGGAGAGGACTTTATTGCCACTTCCACAGGTTAGCACAACGAGAGAGAAAGAGACCCCACCTGCTGGTTTGGGGGTGCTGATGAATAGATCCCAGAGAATGGCGGCCCTGGGGGCTTACCCAGCTGTCTGGTGTGAGAGTTTCCTGGCTACGACAGCCACGTGGGTAGAAAAGGAACCAGAAGACAACCCCACTTGGTTTTCTGCTGCCCAGAATCGGGAGTGAAGAAATGAAATCTCACATCCCCATAAGGACACAGTGATGTGGCCATGACAGACAGGGCAGGAAGGAGCCCGGCCACCTGCCACTGGAGGGAGAATGACAGGGACACTGTAGGAGAGAGCAGTCAAGATGGGCCTGAGCTGGATAGGGACCCACACAAAGGTGGGGACCAGGACGTCCACTCCTGAAGGCAGCAGCACTCGTTCTCTCCGCTGATACCCACATGCTCAGACCCCTCCCTCACCCCTGCCTCATCCCTCCCTCATCCCTGCTTCACCCCTCCCTCACCCCTCCCTCACCTGTGCCAACACTGCAGAGGCGTACCCCCTGCAGCCTCCACGTCTCTCTTGAGTCAGACAACGGGAAAACCCCCACAGGCTGAAAAACTGTGTAATGACCTAGTGTGCTGTGGAACAGCTAAGACTATGTGTCTTGCCACCAGATGCGTTAGTCACGCAAAGAGAAATTCAGTTGATAGAGATTTCCTTTCTCACAGCTGGAGTGTAGGACTTGGGGATCCCATGGCATCCTTGGGGGCCAGCCGGCCCATCTGGGCCTTTCTCCGTGACCGGAGTGAAGCTGGCCGTGGTGGAGCATGCCTAGGATAGAGGATTCGAAGGGAGTGTCAGGGCTGTGAGGCAGAAACAGGCAGTAAAGAGCAGACCTTTAATAATGATTTCACTGAGCGCGGCGAGCAGTCATTTCCGTATGCACAGCTGCAGGATTCAGCAGGAGAAACTCAGCATGAACAGGCCGAGTGGAACTAATTAGAAGGGCACGATGTGTGTGCAAGACCCCTGGTTATCTGTGTGTGCGAGACCCCTGGTGATAACCGGCAGCAGGTACATGGGAAGCCGAGGGGACCCAGGGCTCCTGGGCTCCAGGCAGGCATCACTGATGTTGCCCTGGGGGGCCAGGGCAGGAAGGGGGAGCAGCCAGTCCTGGAGGAGGGTTCTGGGGAGAGGAAGTGGGCAGGGGGGAGCCGAAGTGGCCGTCCCTGAAGGTGGAACCCTGACACTCAGTAGAGAGAGTTCTTACAAATAAGCAGGGAAGCTAAAGACAGTGACAACAAGCATAGCACAGTATACTCAGCTTCTTAAACGGATCTCTTGCTTTAAGCCCAGGGAGAGATACTGGGGCATGGGTTGGACTGGAATTTGCTTTGGTGACATGAAAGGAGAAAGGGTGTGTTAGGAAAATGGACAGTCAGACTGCAGGCAGGGAGAAGGAGCAAAGCAGGGGCAGTGGCCAATGACCGTCAAGCACTTAGGAACCATCACTCGTACACAAACAATAGTCAGACTGTGCACCATTTGTAACTCCTCACTCCAGGATACTCTTCAGAGACGGTCATCAGGTAACATCTGGATATCCAGCAGCCTTGGTTCGTGCTTTTCCCCTCAGCGAAGAACCAGCAATAAAACCGAGCTCATTTGCATTATTTTAAAAGTTAGGAAATTTATTAACCGAGTCGGGTTTCCCTCCCAGTTACTTTGAATTAATTTTCTCATCATTAAGAATCAGAGATTTGGGAAGCAGCGCTGGTGAATTCCTAGGCAAAGTTAGAGGCCATTAGGAAGAGGCTGTTATTCCATCTTCGTCTTCCTCATGGACGGCTTTATATTCAGGTTCCTGGTTCACTTTCTTGAGGGACAGGTCTCATCTTCCTTGCAAACATCCGGCAGATTCTTAAAGCCCAGATAACCCCTAATGCTGGGGGTCACGGTTTGAGGAAGTGAGCTGGATGGGACCTTGAAAGTAGAAGCTGGGAAGGAAAGCAGGGCCTGAGCTGAGGACCTTGAACCCAGGACCACACAGTGTTATTACTTGAAGTTCATGAGCAGGGGTGGGGAACCTTTTCTCTGCCAATGCTCTTCGGATCGGATATTTATAACATCGTTCATGGGCCATACGAAACGATCAGCTTAAACATGAGCGGCTCTACGTGGTCAAACATTTAGTGAACTCACCCCTAATGCCTCGGCAGGGCCAGACCAAATGATTTTTAAAAAAATATATTTTATTGATTTTTCACAGAGAGGAAGGGAGAAGGATAGAGAGTTAGAAATGTTGATGAGAGAGATACATCGACCAGCTGCCTCACCCCCCCCCCCCCCCCCCCCCCCCATCGTACATGCCCTTGACTGGAATCGAACCTGGGACCTTTCAGTCCACAGGCCGACGCTCTATCCACTGAGCCAAACTGGTTTCGGTGAGACCAAATGATTTTGTGGGATGGACGTTCCCCACCTCTGTGATAGAGGAAGAGGGTGGTGAACTCACTCCTGACCCACTCGGGAAAGGACCAATAAGATCTAGACAGGGATATCTTGTCTTCAGCCGAGAGAACTGTAGGGTTCAGAGAACTCAAGTGCTCGGTAGGAGACTAAGTTAGGAGACCAGGCATGTAGCTGAGGCATGACAGTGAAGTCTAACGGCTGCACTGCAGTGGGTATGAGCTCCACGGCGCACCCAGGGATCAGGGTCCCCACCAGGGTGCCACAACTCATTCTACACCCCACTCGCCAGAATCTATCACGTACCTTGGCCACGTTGGCTTAGGAATGGAATATGGATGCACGGAATGTGCCTGCAGAGAAGACCCTTAGTGTGTACGAGGGCAGAGGCCAGGCAGGGCAGGGCTGACACACAGGACCCCACTGCCGCCATGGAGAAAGCATGTTTCCTGTTGCCCAGCCTGACAACATGTAGCAACTGACAGAAATAGAACCTCGCACCTCATCTCTGCAGGAGCTGGTTATTGTGTGTTCCCAGGACACTCCTGGAATCCAGAGGAGGAACAAGTCAAGGAGGGCTCCCTGGAGGAAGCAGCCCAACGGGAGCCTTAAAGAGCGAGTATAACTTAAAACAGGGATGAACGTGGAAAGCAATTCCAGATGAGGGGACACCCATGAGCTGTGAGAATTCAATGAGATACTTCACCGAAGGAGTCCTGTCATCAGGGAAGCCCACAGCAAACAAGACAGAGGGGTATGGCTGCTGTTATTCTGCTGCTTTATTTTGATAACATTTTTACTGCTTTTGGTAAAGGCCACGGGGATTCAAAGCGCATGCTTAAAAGACAGTAAGCTAGCACAATTCTGACCTCCTTCTCCAGATGCCTGTGGGATCAAAGCAACCCAGTGAACAAGGGTTCTTTTAAATTTTATTTTATTTTATCAGAACTCTTTCTGCATCAGCAGTGCCTCCAAACTGCTCATGCTCCAAGGGACCGTGGAAGAAAGTTACACTGAGCTGGGCTCCCAGAAACACCCCCACGGACTGTGTGGAACTAAAAATCACCGCCTTTAGTCAGTGCCTACATCTCTCACAACCGGACACGCAAAGTGGTAAGATCTCTGTGCTTCTCCCCTGTCCACTGGCTGTGTGAGGGAACACACGCCAATAGGAAGGAGACACAAAACAGGAGGTTTCTGTGAGTGCTCTGGGATGCTGCTGCACAAACACTGGTGGAGAGGGAGCTGGGTGTTTGTCCATATTGCAAACACACCCCTCCAGGAGCTGCTTAAAACACCCGGCACGCAGGCCTTCCGCCCACAGTGCTTGTGAGAAGAAGGTCGCTGCTTTGTGGTCCCACTCATCTGTGCATTCCCTGGCTGCTGCGTGTGTGTGCCCTGATCTGCCCTGCAGCCTTGGCATATAGGACGACGCTTTAACCGCTGAGGTACCCGGCCCCGGGGCGGCTGAGAGCTCTGATTACCTTGCCGCTATTATCCCCATTGCCAAGGCCAGTCTCTCCGCTGTGGGCTGTCACGCTCTGTAACTCAAAGTGGCCGTGGAGGCGGCGTCTAAAGCAGCCCCGGCTCCCTGGCTCAGCGCCTGCCTCTCTGAGCAGCAGCTTGGGGTCAGCGCACATTTCATGGAGGTGGGGCCTGCTCAGTCCTCTGTCATGGGCGACACCCCGCTTCAGGTGCACTGGTTTCTGCTGTGGAGCCGCAGCGGGCTGTGCAGGCGCTGCTCCCCCAGGTGATTGCCGGCCTGGGCCGGGCAGTCTGCCTAGGGCACTCAGCGTGGTCCCCAGGAGCGGGCTGGCCCCAGGGACAGCTCTGCTGATGGCCGTATTCTGAGGCCAGCGCAGAAGCAAAGCTCCCAGGGGACAGGTGGGTGTTCCAGGAATGCTACCTGGTTGGGTAAAAACCAAATCGCTTCCAGAACACCAACAAGGTTTTCCACTAAACTTTCCTTGGAGTGTTTTCCTTTGGGGGTCAAAGGACCAGTCTGAGACCCAGGAATTAGTGTCGTTACTAAACACGCCAACAGACAGTGTGTGCCATAACCCGACAGCCTGGCATCCTGCCCAGCAAGCAGGAGGCGGTGGTTTGCCAGGCGCCCGGGGGCCGGACCACAGCGTGTTGTCCTGCAGGAAGCAGGGTGAACCTGATGAGAGTCGTGTCCTCCCCGTGGCCCTTGAGGACTTTCCAGAGGAAACTCACCAATCTCGGATTCCCGTGCTCGTTCTGAGGACACCTGTTGCTAATATCAGCACCCACTGCTGTCCCGGCATCTGTTCTACTGAAGCTCAGTGCAAAGTGCAGGGTGAGCCTTCCCTCCCTCCTGCACATTCACAGCACCGACCCTTACAAGACACAACTACAAGCACAACCAAAGGATTCATTAAACGTACTTTCATGCGAGGAAAAGGGAGAGAATTTTTTTTTAAGTTGTCCACTCAAATGCACACATTTCCAGCAGCAGCAGGGGGAAAAAAAAGAGCCCTATTCATAAAAAACGACAATCCAGACCCTCGCAGGGTCTATAGAAACTGTTGCGTGAGCTCACCAGTTTGGTTTCTCTCGTTCTCCAGACTAAGCAAAGAGACGAAGCTGCCCCCGCACACACTGGCCAGGTGCTCGGGGTCTCTTAGATCCCGCTCGCCCCGCGCTCCACCGCCGTCGTGGGGGTGCGGCAGACACTCACCTTGAAGGAGGAGTAGAAGGAGCCCCACTCCTCTTCTGCCATCTCTCCCGTGGGAGTTGTGGGGAAGCAGCCGGCCGAGTGAGAATCCGGGGTCCGCGTGGTCCCGTTGGAGTTGGCGCTGCCCTCGGTGAGGTTGGCTGGCATGGCTCGGGGGGCCCAGAGGCAAGGGAGAGAGAGTCCAGGTTCTCCTGAGAGCTGAGAGCCGGCAGCAGCCGCACCTCCGGGCTCCTGGCTCTGGCGGGAGCTGCGCTGAGCAGAGGCGCTGAGCCCTCGGAGCCCACTTCATTGAAGAGCCGCTGACGGCAGGCAGGGCACATCCACGTGCCGCTCTCTCCTCAGCTGTCACGATCCGGGAGCTGCAAGCCTCAGCTCCCACAGCCCACCCCGGCCCAGCCTCGCCCCTGGAGGCTCCCAGACAGGCCTCCCTGCCCAGGTGTGCTTTCCTTCCAGAAGGGCCCCCTCCCACCCACCCTTTTGCTACAATTTGAGCCACAGAGGAGATTAGGCTGATCACGGGTTGATTAATTCAGGTCATGTTGGCACTTTCTGAAACATAATAGTAATTATGCATTTGCTTCAGCTGAGGTTGCCTTCTGACTTACAATCCCCTGTAGCCTGCCCGTCATTTCAGTAAACAAGCCCACTTTTGTCTGTCGCACCCACCCTCCCCCACTCCCAGGCTTGCACCGGGCAGCTCTCTGGAAAGCCTGGGTCTGTGTTTGCCAATGAGCCACGTCCTGTGATGACTGGGATTGGTGCCTGGGGAGTCCTCTCAACGCCTCAGGCCTCAGCGTCCTGTCATTGACATGCAACCACTGTGTGAGGCAGGCATGTACACTGTCATTTTCACCAGGAAAGTCTCAGAGGTGGAGTGACTTGTCCAGGGCCCACAGCTGGGGACGGGAATGAGATGAAGCCCACGTCTTCCCAAATTCCTAGACAGGGTGCTTTCACTGAAACACACACTGAGATGCACCAAATACTGGCATGAAGTTACCCCGAGTAAGGGTGACAGGCCAGCTGGGGAACAATAGGACATATAATAGCAACCGAGCATAATCCTGGCCACTTACACAGAAAGCATGCAGGGGCTGGTACCCACAACCAGGGGCTAATGCCACCTGGTCAGAGGCAGCAGGCGTGATGATCATAAGAGACTGAAGCCCTCATAAGGGCTCCTGGGGAACTTTAGCGGAAGGCAGGAGCCCAGGACGCATATGGTGGATGAGATGAGATGTTAAGTCTACAATGAAGGGGCAGCAAAGAGGAGGAAGTTGTGCAGAAAAACGTGTGAGCTGTAGGCTCTTAGAGAAAGGGTCAAATCAGCAGAGAGCAAATGAGCAAACAATAGTCCTGCTGGCAAACGAACGTCAAAAAAGATGCCCAATAATATTACAAACTGAGGAAAAGCAACTTCAAACAATAGGCAGAATTCTTACCTATCCGTGTGGCAAAACGAAGGTGTGACCCCACCAAGGTCAACAAGAAATGGGTACACTTTTTCACTTTCGGTGTGAGAGTTAGTTCCACGGTCCTTTTGCAGAGCAATTTGGCGGGATTGGTAAAGATGAAATTGCCTGTTCTGTAAGGAATGCATCATTCCATTTCTCAATTATGGTAATTCCCAGCTCTTTACCTGGGTTACTTACATACAATTTATGAAGATGCATTGCACTACATGCTGAAAATGCGGGTGCTTTTTTTGTAGGTATGTTTTACTTCAACACAAATTTGTAAACAAAATCTGTGAGTCACTTCTGGGAGAGGACAGACTCTGGTGAAGCCATATTGTGATGAGGGTGGAGAGAGAGGATATGATAGATGCCATGGATGGGGAATAGGTGGAGAGAGAGCTTTCTGAATGTGTGGTTTTCTTCCTACTCAGGGTCCAGAAGGGTACTTCTTGACCTGTGGCTATCCAAGAGAAACATATGTCTGTGTACAAGGAGATGCCCAGAAAGTTGCCTTTGCAACATCATTCTGAAACAAATCAGAAGCAACCCAAATATTTATGGTGACAGGATCAACAAGACTCTCCCAGCTAGAAATTGCCCACATACCCATCAACAGAAGCTGGATGAATACATTCCATGTATTTCACACAATGAAATAGTGTGAGAAGAATGTTCTGCAGCAAATATAACATGATAGCTTAAACTCATAAATGTAATTTTAAGTAAAATAATCCATATTTTTCATTGATATAAAGTATCACTATATATATGTGTGTGTATATCTATCTATCTCTAATATATATACACATTTATATACATATATACATGTATGTATATATATATACACACATGCATATATATATTTTTTTAAAATACATATTCACTGTGGAATACTATACAGCAGTTAAAAGAAAGTGTTGCAGACAAGATGGCAAACTAACATAACGTGGCAGTTACTTTATTTATCAACTTGACTGGACAGCAAGGTGCCGGGATATTTGCTCAGATATTATTCTCCGTGTGCTCCTGAGGATGTTTCTGGGTGAGATTAACTTGTGAATCAGGAGACTGAGGGGAGCAGATGGCCTTCATCCAATCATTTGATGGTGTGAACAGAAGGAAGTCAGATCTTCCCGCAAATAAGAGAGAACTCTTCCTGCCTGACTGTTTGGAGCTGGGCATTGGTCTCTTCAGGCCTTTGGACCTGAATTAAGACATCAGGCTTGGGTCTCAAGCCTGACAGCCTTCGGACTGGAACTACACATCAATTTTCTAGCTTGCTGACTACAAATCTTCGGACTTAGCTTCTGTAATCACATGAACCGATTTTTAGTAATATCTATTTATCTATCTACCTACTATCTATCTACCTACTATCTATCTATCTATCTATCTATCTATCTATCTGTCATTCATCCATCCATCCTATTGGTTATGTTTCTCTAGAGAGCCTCAAATAATGCATGTAGCATCTAGCTCCTTACCTGCATTCATCCCTAGAGATTCCACAAAAATGAGAGGGGCGTTGATGTGTCACGGGACATTGAGTGAAGCCACGAGACCCCTGGGAGACACGGTGTGCTGGTGAGGATGTGGCGGACGAGGCCTGTCTGCACGGCTGCAGTGATGTCCGTTGGCATGGGTGCTTTGGAAACTGTCTTGGCAGCATTATCTAAGGCTGAGCATATGCATATTCCAGGACCCGGCGGCTTTGCTGCCAGATGAACAGAGCGCTTCAGCTTGGAAATGCCCCCAGCTGGACACTCCCGAAGTGCTCATTCACAGTGGAGCAGGTAAAGAGCGTGTGGCATGTTCAAATGATGCAAAATATACACGATTCCGATAAACGGTCTGTAGAAATCTTACAGTCATACATTTTGAATGATAAGACACAAAACAATGTGTGGTGTTCAATTTCATTCATTTTATAGGTGAGTAGTGACTGGAGTGGATTTACATTTTTCTATTATTTGTTTAGGTTTTGTTTGTCTGCTCTGATTTCAGACTTGCTTAAGTCGTTCACTTCAAGGTCTCTGATCTCCTTTCCCTCTAGAAACTGGGGTGTCTCAGAGTCCTGTGTAGGACAGGCTCCCTGCTTGCCAGGTCCGGCGTTCTCAGTCCTGCCTGCGCCCTAGAATAACCATCTGTGCTTCTAAAGAATACTGGGGCTGAGGCCTCAGCCCCCAAGGTTTGGACTAGGGGAGGCAGCCTGGCCACTGGGAGTTTTTGAAGCTCCCCAGGTGATTCTCATGAATATCTGGGGACGAGAACCCCCGTCCTGAAGAATAGCAATCTCTAGGTTGCTACTCCCAGGCTGCTATGTCTGCTGCCTGCCTTCTGAGGCCACTGTCTACACTGCCTGGCCCCAACTCCCCGCCCCCCCGCCCCCCAGACCCTCAGAGAGCCCCATATCCTCCCAGGTTCTCCTTCCTCAGGGCGCAGTTTGAGTCACTGGGCATGCGTAGTTTCAGCAAGCAGATGGGAGGGAACTTTCCCATTTCTTTATTTTGGGGCCAGAAGGCTTGCTGCTCTCTCTCAGCATCAGGAAGCCCTAGTTAACCTCCGGTTTGGAGACTTCCAGACAATCAATTGGATCACCCTTCGGGATGCTGCCTTCCTTAGACACCGTCCGCCAGAGCCTGGAGGGAGGTTTCCAGGTAAGAGATGGAGTGTGGGTGACCACAGCCCAGCTCCCCGTCCGACAGGCTCTGAACTGGGGGGGGGGGGGGGGGGGGAGGAGTATAGGGGACATGAGGAAAGCCTGCCCATTACTGTCATAGCCCTCCCTTCCTTCTCCTTAGAGTGATGACTGGCTTATGTGAGTCCATTGTTCTGGGCTCTTTGTTGAGTCTGCCAGTTCCTGACGGTGGGAGCTCCCCCTATTCTTGTTGTGTCCTCTGACAACATGGACCCCCAGCCCTGTGGTCCTGGAGCCCAGAGTGGCGAACCGTTTCTTTGCGTTGAGAACAGCTCACTGCAATGACCCATGGTTCCCCATGCGGCTCTGATCAGACCCATGGATGCCCCTCCCCCTTCTGTGAGAATGCCTACCCCCCTTACAATGATTCTTCCCAACATCCCAGAGTCCTGAGCGGTTGGTAGACACCTCCACCCTGCTCACAGGTTTGTGTTGTACTGAACGGAAAATGGTATTGGTGGTTAAATATCTACTTAAGCAACTGCTATGGAAAAACTGGTGATGTCAGGTGCCGAGGGGGGTGGGTGGGTGGGTGGGGGGTAGGGGTGTGTGTGTGGGGGGGTTCGTGGTTGGGTTGGAGAGAGCAGACAGATATGTGCTCCAGGTTCAGTCGCTCTAGGGTAAATCACAGAAGCCTTAGGTGGCTCCGGCGGCTGAGTGTGATTCATCTCTGAGGGAATCAAGAGAATTCACGTTCTCAGATCAGAGGAGGCACAGATCCTAGTTCTGAAGTTCCAAAGTAGGTGTGGTGCTTTGATACCTTTGAGTAAAGTCCACCACATGGAGAATGGCAAGTGAGGGTGGGTTTAGGACACAGGAAGCCAAGCTCCTGTGGGGTGTTTGCTTTTCCGGTCCCAGGCTTGGCTACTGCCCGCAGAGATGAATGCTCAGGTGCTAATCGACACTCCACCCAGGAGTTCTTGCTCAAAGGAATGAGCTGGCAGCCTGGGCTGGTGCTAGTCATCGCGTCTCACGTGGGGCCTGCGTCAGCTACATCCCAGCTGCTGCCCCTGGACCGCCCTGCGTCTCTCTGAGAATCCGTGTAGATCTGGGTTTGTTGGAGGAGCTTTAATTACGCAGGTGGAAGTGAAAGGGATATGGGAGAGAGGTGAGGAGTGCTTGACAGCAGGCTCAGCATTTAATTCCCAGAATATTAGTTTAAGGTGGGAGCAGATTCCCTGTGTTAAAGGTGCAGAGAGCTCCTGGCAGAG